AAACTGATCCCTTTACTCTGGAATCGCTATCAGTTCATCATCAAGTGATGACGCTGAAGCTGTATGTGGAACGGATGTCCCAGCCTTCTCGAGCCGTTCTTATTTTTTGCCAGTAAGTTTTTTTTTTTTAATTATTGTTTTTTTCTAAATAAAAGATTAGTCTTATCCACTAATGATATTGAAAACCCTAAAATTTCACATATTCAAACTTCTTTAATCCCCAATATTTTTGTGAAATGCTCTCATGATTTTGTTCCTATTAGCTTGCAAAATCTGATAGATTTAGGTTTGTCGCAAACCAAGTAGAACTCATCCCAAGAGGCCTATGACGTGAGAAAGCCCATTTGGAAATGATAAAATTAGGGAGTACTACGTAAATCTGAGGGGTTCCCTTGACATTAGAACCCCACATCATCCTATGAAATGGGTACCAATTGGGGCTCATATAGTATCCCGTTCGTAAAATCGACGCCCCACCCCCTCCATTTGCACCCCTAATTTAGTTGACTTTGGAGTCAAAAATTTTGGCTCCAAAGTTAGCTAAATTGTAGGGTGCAATTGAAAAAGGTGGAGGGGTGGGTTAGGGTCGTGGCGGGATAGGAGGATTTACTGCAAAAGTTAGTTGGTTAAGAACTGTCAATTTTAAGAATCGGGCGCTCTAAGAGTGCGAATTGGGGCCATGTTATAGGATGACATTGATAATCTATGCCACCCAAACCGCTTAGTAAGCATAAGTGTTCAATCCCTTCTACTATTACAAATTAGTAACACACATTTTTTCACTTATTTTTCTTTTAGGAAAACATTTCCTAGGCACTCACTCTTACACTAAGTTTGGTTCAAGGAATTTGAAAGGGAAAAGAAAACAAAATGAAGTGAATTTTTTTTTTCGTGTTTGGTTAGAGGGGAAAAGAAAGGAAAAATGGAGGGGAAAAAATGAGAAGGCAAAATATACCAAGTGGAGTGAAAACCAAATTCCTCTCATTTTGGAGAAGAAAATGAGAGAACCATTTTCTTTTCTTTTCCTTCCAAATTTTTTGAACCAAACATAGTGTTAATTTTTCTTAAAAAACAAAGCAAAGGAGATTGAGAAATCATTTATTCCCCTTCTCTCTTCTTTCTTTGCACGAATGGAGTGATAATCTCCACAAAGTAGTCTTCTTTCTTAAATAGACAAGATTAGGCCACCATAGGCCATGTTTGGGAATAACATTTTTATTCGCGTTAGCATTCTAGATAAACTTTTAATGGTGTAGATTAATTTTGAAAACGTTAACGCTTTAGACTATCGTTAGATAGCCTTTTCAAAATGCTAACACTAAACTCTAAAACTGCTGCCAGACATGGTCATAGTCCATTTCAGGTTGCATATGTCAACTTTATCTTCAAATCCTTAATGTTTGATTTGGTTTTGCTCCTTCATATGGTTGCCACATGTGGATGATAAACCCAATTTGAAAGGTCCTTACACCGCCATGCATTTTTAGTCTCTATCCCTTTGTTAAGATGTAGACATGTGAGCCTCCATTTTGAGAGACCTACTCAACAAACTCTTTATTTGGTCATACAACATATGTACGTGGGATAAGTCCCATACCATGTAATTGTTTCAGTTAGTAACAACATTTGACCATCCTTAAGGACCAACGTCTTTGTTGGTCATGGTTGGCTCAGGCCGCCACTCTGAGTTGGCTTTGATAACAGTTGCTACCAAGCAAACAAAAGAAGCTACCCAAAAGAGACTAGCCTATCAAGTGAGAAATTGAGGTCATTTAGTCTATAAAGTAGGTTTCTCTTAATTTGGCCATAAGAAATCAAACCACATTAAAATTAACTAGTTCAGCTCAAGATCTTATTAACCCATTATTCTTTACTTTTGTGTGGGATTCTTCCAAGATTTAAGTTGTTTTACTTTGTGAAGGGTAAATGGAATAGAGTTTGAGGAGGTCTCAATTCGTCTTGCCAAAGGCCAACATCGAACTCCTGAATTCATAGGTCTGTCTTTTTGCATTTATTATGTCCATTGCCAATGGAGCTAAAACATGCATAATTGACAATGTTTTAGTGTGAAGTAAATAATGATATAAAATAATTCAATCATATTTTACAGTGTTAAGACTACGTACATTTTGACCCCTATTCCCCGAACAAAGTTGGAACTATAATGGGTTGTTGTTATTGTATTTTATTGGCTCATAGTGTAAATGTGTTTTCTTTGGGCATATTTTGTTTTCGGTGTTGTAATTTCAGAAATTAATCCCATGAAGCAAGTGCCTGCCATAGTGGATGGAAGATTCAAACTGTTTGAGAGGTAGTGAAAAAATCTACTCAGTATTGTTCAGATCTTTTACAAGGAAAATGCTACTTAAACTTCGGGGATGACACCAAGTTTGACACCATCAGAAACAAGCATGCATAAACACTTGTTGTATGCGAGAGCTTCATTGTTTGTGAGACACGAGCAGTGTCAACTTAGTGTTATCCGCGGTGTGACATTAGCATGACTTTTTCTAATTACCTTTTAACATCACGATTAGTAACTACTCCTATGTGTTTTTCAGTCACGCAATTATGAAATATCTGTCTCGTGCATTTCCCGGTGTGGCGGATCATTGGTGAGTTTGTTTACTTTTGTGCAGTTATAGGCAATCGAAGTTTGCGTTCATTGCCAATGGAGCTAAAAGAGTCATTTTTGACACTATTTTAGATGCGGACAGATATGGATTGAATCAAAGTGTCACATTAAACACACTCCACTTTTTACTTTCTATGATGTTTTGGGAATTAGGTGCATTAATGTAGCAATGCATCAAAGGTGCGACTAAAATAATCTCTATTTTTACGCGGTTCAAATCCGTACACCAAAAAAGTCAAACTGTGGCAATCTTTTAGGGACGGAGGGAAGTAGATTACAAGCACAACTAGGAATAGGAATATAAAACACATTATCAAATCGACTAAGCTTATACTAAGCTTATTACTAGGTTTTTTGTTGTTGTTTTTGTTGTACACTCTTGCATGCTGAGTATGTTGGGTTTTGCCTATTTTTTACTTTAAGGTACCCTGCTGATGTCTATAAAAGAGCAAAGATAGATTCGGTGCTGGACTGGCATCACACTCATTTACGACGTGGTGCAGGTGCTTCATCACTTTTATTTGAGTTTTACTTTGAGCTGCATGTTTTATTTGGTGTTCGAGACGTATTTTTGGAAAGAATTCTCAAATGTTGGTTTTAATATGTTTGAGAGTGTCCGATTTTCAGCTCTTTTTTGGTTTCCTCTCTTCATGTTTTAGGTGGTTATGTGTTGAACACTGTGCTTGCACCTTCGCTCGGCTTGCCATTGAATCCACAAGCAGCAGCTGAAGCTCTGGAACTCCTCACGGCATCCCTTGACAAGATCGAGTCATTTTGGCTCCAACCGAATGGGCGCTTTCTATTGGGAAGTACCCAACCTTCAATTGCAGATCTTAGCTTAGTTTGCGAAATCATGCAGCTCAAGGTAAGGTTTTATTTTGGAAGCAACCTCTTGTTAGGTGTCCCAATTGGGACAGTGTCCTCCGTGGCCACTTAGCGAGAACCTAGCCGTTGAACGGGCCAGTTCTATGGTCACTCTTTTTAAGTGGCCACGGAGAGCATTGGACACCTACAGACTACAGTGCTCCGTTTGTAAAATTGATAGTGCCTAGCCACCCAGCCTCGACCCCAACCCACGTCAATTGCACCCCGCAAGTTTAGTTGACTTTGGGGTCACTAATTTTGACCCAAAAGTCAAATAAACTTGCGGGTGCAATTGACGTGGGAGGGGGGGGGGAGGGTTACCTGGGTGTAAGGGGGTTAGGAACTATTAATTTTGTGAGCAGAGCAGCGTATGTGTCCCAATTGAGACACTTTCCTCCGTGGCCACTCAAAGAGAGTGGCCACAGAACGGAGCCGCTTCTCGATTACTGCTACTTGTGATTCTATGGCCTCAAAAGAAAAAGTTGAAAACAGATTTTGGGGAAGAATGGGGAAAGAATACTAAGCCCATACAAGAAAATTGCAAATTGGATTGATGATACAAAGGAAGCAACTGCACCCCATTTCCATGAAGTCCACTCTGTTCTGTTCAAAGTCAAAGAGAGGTTACACCATAAACAATCTGCACCAGACTTGCATTCAAAGATGTAACATTGGTAAACATCTTTGAATGTATTGTACTTTTTTATGTAATTTTTTTTGAATGTATTTTACTCGTTCGATAAGATACTATTGTCATACTCCGTATCATCTTTGATTTTGTAGAATTTTTTATGTAATTTTTAAATAGTACTTTGTATATTTTTCTTCGGTTGAACCTCGTAAACAATAACCCATGATTTAAATTTGGAATGGAGGGAGCGTAGCTTTGTCACCTTTAATATTGTAAAATTTTTTGTCAGTTTAAGTATGTTTTAATTTTATACTATTTTTCATATAAAAGTAGGTAGTTGAAAAGAACTTCACACAAACGTCACACCCTTCCATAGCCATTGTGGAAAGGTATATCAAAGAGTTTATATACCCTCCATCCTATAAAAAATTTCATTTTTTGTCTATATTAAAAATAATTTTACACGCTTTAAAGAAACAAAATTTAAAAAATAAAGAAATTAGTTAACTCGCAAATCTTCTACTACATTTTCTTTAAATAAATTTTAAATACTTCCTCCGTCCCAATTTAAATCGTCTGTTTTGATTTTTGGGCATATTTAAGGAAAATAAAAAATAGAGTTGATTTTTCAAAATTGTCATTACTTTTTAGGAGGGGTGACGATGAATGGGAATATAAGGTGAAGAAGAGTGACTTATTTTAGGGGTAGTTTAGGTATTTTATTTTTAAAAGTTTACGAAAACAACTAACAAGCAACTTATTTTGGGACGTAGAAAAAAGACAAACAGACAATTTAAAATGGGACGGAGGGAGTACATTTTATCAATTCCAAAGAAGACAGTAGAACAATTACAATGGGGAAGGGAGAGTCTTGTCGCGCCTCTCGGAGTGGCTGGGCAAGCAGCAGATTGCAGGTCGCAGGTTGCATCTGGGCCTGGGTGAAGGCAGTGAGCTGCGTGGGCGAGGACGCCTAGTGCAGCGCTGTGCTGCCAGGTGGATGGTTTTAATTTTTTTTAATTGTTATTATTTTTTATTAATTTTTATTTAATTTTATAATTATTTTTTTATTAATCTTATATAAATTTTTAAGTGAAAATGATGAATATTGTAATCCTCCCTAACATTGTTCTAACCTGACAGGAAAAAAAAGGAAATGATCCCTCCATTCTAACTGCTGTTAATTTGGGAAATGATTGATCTAATTTTGGAATACAAAAAATTAAATCCGGAGTTATCGAGGAAGAAGACGAAAGGAAACTCTCCTTGTGAAATGGAGCGAATAAAAGGGGATCGCATCTCTTCTCACAGCCAACGGAGAAGCAATCCCCACCGTTTCGAAATCCTCAGATCCCCACCTAGACATTCGATCTCCGGCGGCGGCGGCGGCGACAGATAGAGGAGAGATGGCGTTGAAAGTGTACGCGGATCGCTTGTCCCAGCCCTCTCGCGCCATTCTCACCTTCTGCTGGTAACATTCTTCTTCCCCCCCTCCTCTGTCTCAAATTTGCTAATGATTTCAGATCGTTCCTTTACTATACGAACTAGCAGTAATCTACCGAGTTGGATTCGTTCCTTTATTGTTGGTTAGCTGAAGTACTGTTAAACTGCATGCCCTTATATACATTCAAGTGAACAGATTGAAATGGAATTGAAATCACATATCACAGATTGGAAACTTCAATTAGATTTATAAAACTATACATGATCACTTGTTAGACTTGTATAGGGACACCAACATTTGGGGTGTTTACATTGGAACAAATGAACATGCCTTCACAAACAACCAAATGAACAAAGCGGCATCCATTTTTGCATGATTGCAACAATGAAATCATATATCACAATTTAGAAAATGTAAATGAGATTTATAAAAGTACACATGAATATCTTGTTTCATGTTTCATTTTGTGCTAGTGTAAATGTTTGTTGAACTTTGTATTCGGTGTAGGGTTAATGGGATAGAGTTTGAAGAGGTCCAAATACAGCTCGCCAAAGGCCAGCATCGATCTCCTGAATACGGAGGTTTGTCTTTCTCAGTTTATTTACTAAGGGATCAAAACTTTAATAAATAGCAAAGACTATTATGATTTTTTAACTTTTTGTGGTTTTGGGCTAATGTGAATTGCAGTAATAAATCCCATGAAACAAGTGCCCGCTATTGTGGATGGAGACTTCCCACTCTTTGAGAGGTAGTAATTTGCTAAGTGCTGCACTCTTTAAAATGATTAGTTATTACTACTCCATCCATTATATATTACTCCCTCCGTCCCCATAGGTCTTCCTAATAGCCCTTTTTCTTTGTCCTCAATAGATCTTCTCATTTCATTTTTTAACAATTAAAATACCACAACTACCCCCACTTACTTCATTTTTTACACCTCACCCACCTCATTTAATACACTCCACCCATTTTTATTAAGGGTATTATGGTAAACTTTTACCTTTTTTAAACTCTCCTTAAAAATCACCAAAAGTCAAAATGAGAACAGCTTAGGGGGACGGAGGTAGTACTACCTAATTGTTTTATTAGCAAAACCTTGTTATCAAACAAAAGAGGACCTATTTCTTGTTTTACAACATGATTTTTTGTGATTCTCAAATGTTAGCAAGTATGTACCACAAAACATTTTTTAGTGGTATAGTTCCACTTCCAATGTGCTCTAGTCATATGTTATCATACCCAGTCTATTGTGCAAGATGGATTCAGATTTGAACCAAAATGCAAAAAGTCATTTTGACAATGTTCTAGCCTTGGATTAAATTGTACTAAATAAAAAATGACCCATTAAACTTTACTTGCTTCTTGCCTCCAATGAAAATCTGGGTTGTAAGCTAAATTGAAATTGTGGAACTTTTTTATTGGTAGATGTAGTATTGTATTTTTTTTATAACTCAATTCTAGAAAAGCATATCTGTATTGTAAAAAGAATCAACTTTGATGAATGTACAAAAACTTTTAAATTTGGTAAGGTACAATTCATTAAAAGTATGGAGTACTAAATATATCGATATTTTAAAACAAATTTAGAAATATGGGATAACACAAATTGAGAAATAAAACTCTTTCTATGGGACGAAGGACGTACTTCGTGGTACTTTATCATAATGTGATCAAACACCTAATGCAAAGTTAAAGGAGAACAAAGGCAGTGCTTATTAGCTCTTATGGAAGTAAACAGGCACAATTTCTTGTGTTAGGTAGGACATAAACTTATGCAAAATTCTCAAGTTGGACCACTGTTGTTTTCCCCTAAAAGTAGAAGTGTGATCATTTAAAAAGATTAGATGCAAGTATTAATTCTTTTCGAGTAAATTTGTCCTTATGGTCGGGAAAAACAATATTGGTCTTTCGGGACATAGGTGTTTGGTCCATTGCTCTCATTCTTGTCATTCACATGTTACACATTACTCTACTTTGTTTTCATGACCTTTTAGTACTCTGTAACATATTTTATAACATCTGTTATGTGCTCTTCAGTCATGCAATTCTCAAGTATCTTGCTTCCAAGTATGGTGTTGCAGATCATTGGTAAGCTTTGTTGTTTATGCCTTTTAGTTAATTTTAAATACATTTTGAAATCATGATGTTTTGTGCCACATTAAAATGGCATTAGCTTTGACATGGAACCCTTTCAATGAGTATTTTATTTCTAAACTCTTGTGTTATCTTTGGGAGGAAATAGTAAGGGGGTTAAATAATAAGTAGAGAAAGACACTTTACCTTGTTTGGGAAGAAATAGAAAATATGGGCGGAAGGGGAAAAATCTTATTTTCTATATTTCATGATCTCTCTAAATGGTTGGAAAAATCATTATTCATTAGTATAAAACTTATTTTTCTATCCTTCTAAAACTTTAAAATTTATTCTGTGTATGACCCTATGTTATTCACTTATTCATTAGTATTATTTTTCAAATATAGTGCAAGTCTTTGTTCCTGGCAGCCTGGTTTTCCACTTCCTAATGCCTTAATGATGTCTTTTAAGGTACCCTGCTGATCTACACCGAAGAGCAAAGATAGACTCAGTGTTAGACTGGCACCACTCTAATTTACGCCGTGGGGCAGGTTTGTTCTTTATCTTTGATAAAGATGCGCTTGTTATTCTTTTCACGATTGGTTAATAGTTTTTACTTTGAAAAACATTTTCTTATACTTCTGGATCGTTTTTTAATCAAAACTTCTTGATCTTTAGAAATCTAGGTAATTGGGGTAAAATTTATGCATCAAGAAGGATCTAATATCCATTTTATTCAATGTTCCAATAATTTTCAAAATTATGGTTTTATTTCTCAGAATGTGAAAAAAATGCTATACAAGCTAAAACATTAAATTGAATTTTGTTGTTTATGTTTTCCAAAAAGTGAAAACAAGCATATCAACCACAATTCATTATTAATTAAGAATCAAGGAATGAGTAGAAATTATCTCCATGGCATGAGATGTTGGTCTACTAATATGCTACTAGTACAAGTCTGGTTTATTTTCATATTTTCATATTTATACATTAAGATGGCTGATTTGCAGTTATTGCCTTCTTTTACAGTTGGGTATATTTTCAATACAACATTTGCGCCTGTATTCGGCTTGCCCTTGAACTTGCAAGCAGCAGCCGAGGGTGAAAAACTCCTTTCAGCATCCCTTGAAAAGATTGAGTCCTTTTGGCTCCAGGGAAATGGAAGTTTTCTACTAGGAAATACCGAACCTTCCATTGCAGATCTTAGCTTAGTTTGTGAAATAATGCAACTTGAGGTAAGGCCCTTTTATTAATATTATCATTATATTTTATTAATATTATTGATAGAATTTAGATTTGGGTATGGACAACTGGATTGGCAATAAGACACTTGGGCTAAACCACATTAAAAGATTGAATTCAATCGATTATTTAGTTCAACTCAAGAGCTTATATACCGATTTATTTTCACTACAAGTTCCGGTGTGGGATAGACTCCAACACTCCCCCTCAAGTGGACAACCAGGCCATTTTGAATCTAACCGGTTGATCACTTGCAAATGAACTCCCATTCCCTTGACTTTTTTTTTGAGCGCCAACACCTAAAGGACCACGAGCCGCTGGGTATGGACTTCCAGACGAGCAATCGTGTTAAACGGGCCACAGGCCATTGGGTACATACTCCATACGGACAACTGGGCTAAAGACTAACGGGCCGCTAGGAACGAACGTCTAGACGGACACCTTGACAAACGAGGTGGGCCAAAACCTGCTCTGATACCATGATAGAATTTAGATTTGGGTATGGACAACTGGATTGGCAATAAGACACTTGGGCTAAACCACATTAAAAGATTGAATTCAATCGATTATTTAGTTCAACTCAAGAGCTTATATACCGATTTATTTTCACTACAAGTTCCGGTGTGGGATAGACTCCAACAATTATCATTATAACTTTTGTTGGTTTGTTTTCCACTTTTATTACAAACTATATATGCTTTGAACTGACATTCACATAACCTAAAACCATAAACACATGTTGGGACTGCCAACCGCCGCCTTATCATGCATTAGTATGATATTGTCCACGTTGTGTGAAGTGCTCACAGATGTGTTTTGCACACCTCCCAAAAAGCCCCCAAAAAGCCTCATACTAATCGGGTTAGGTCACCTTTTTTATCTTTGACTATGAATCATGGTCAACATATAGTTTTGAAATATTATATTTTTATGATCTATACACACACACACACACACACAAATAGAGATATTATGATTAAAATGGTGCACTGGAACCGTAAAAAATAAAATGGAAAGAAAGATATGGGACGGAGGGAGTATATTGTTGTTTCAATGTGGGAATCGGGGTTTGCTTCCCAACAACAGCACACCATAGGACTCATCCTTGAGAGTGAATGAAAGGCGGAGTTATTTGTACCTTAAACTTGAGGATCATTGTCTTGTTCATGGCATATGTGTGCGTGTGTGTCTCTCTCTCTCTATATATATTTATTTATATTTATATTTATATTTATATTTATATTTATATATATATATATATATTAATGGCGATTTCAGGTTTTGGACGACAAGGAAAAGGAAAGAATAATGAGCCCTTACAAGAAGGTTTTGAAGTGGGTTGATGACACCAAGAAGGCAACAGAACCCCATTTTGATGAAGCCCACACTGCTCTCTTCATTGTCAAAGAGAAGTTTAAGCAGCAAAGATCTGCAGCAAACCTCTGAGCCCTCCCCCCCTTCCCTCCATTGACAAGCTTTTTGTTTATTAATTCTCTGCTGCAAATCTTCCATGCTGTGTTGGGACTTTTGATTTGCCTGTTTGAAATATGTGTCTCTGAAGTCTGAACTATGCTATGAGATGCAATCTTTTAAGCAATAATAATGTTCCTTTTTTTTGAAAAGAAAGTGCCCTTTCAAAAAACAAAAAAGTGTCCCTCTTGTGTGTTTCCCCCAATAAGACTTAGATTGTGTTCCGTTCAATTTATTTTGTGAAATTTGCACTGAATAGAACTAAAACATAAGTCATTTCTTAATGTAGGACTTAAACTTTTTTATTCCCTAAATTGAGAAGAATAATGTCTAAGTGATGCATGATATTTAGTTGAATAATGACTAATAGATAATGATCAGTGTTCCTACATTGGAAAATTAAAACATATGTCTTATATTGAGAAAGTTTTGATTCTTACTCTAGCTTTATTTATCCATTTTGTGGAACGTATAAAATCCAATCTTTTTTAAAATGATTTTACTTCTAAATTGATACAGAAATAAAAACTACAATTTATGTCATTCAAAATTACATTAAAAATTTTATAAAACAACTATATATTAAATAAACAATGAAAATATGTACAGTAACATAAGTTATTGAGAGTCCTTAATACTCCGTAATAAGGGCAATGCTAGGGGTACACCAACATGGGGTACCCCAAGTGTATACCAAGCCAACACAGATACACACAGACACAAAATGTCTGTGTGTGTCTGTGTTGGTTTTGGTGTACACTTGGGGTACCCCATGTTGGTGTACCCCTAGCTTAATTCCCGTAATAAACAGAATGATGTGTGTAATGATGGGGTTGGTGGTGGCTGGTAGAGGGAAGGGGTAAGGGTGGGTGGTTGGGGCTGGTGATCAAATGTTAAAAGAGAGATGAAAACTTATATAGAGTTCTCCATATTATTTCTTCTAAATAACCCACTGCTCTCACCGATGATAATTACATGTGATTTTATATCTACACAAATGGTAATTAACTGTCTTCATAGATAATTATCATTTGTGTATGTATAAATCATCTCTGATTATCATCCATAGTTGCACTCGTGGTGGATTTCTAGCATTTTTGTTAGTGATATCAAATATCTGAACTTATGATTTATTCATTTATTATTTAGGGTGTCGTTAAATTCATCCTCATTTTGACTATCCACTATTAATGTTAAATTGGTAATTTTAATCTCGATTGATGGGTATATCCTTATACCTGGCCCGAATAACCGAAAGGGACAGGTCAAAAGTTGACCGGTTACTTTCCATGATTACAACATGAGGCAAACTCTTCGATTGAGACGGGTCAAAAGTTGACCGGTCATTTTTCTCAAAAAGTGACCGGTCACATTTTGGGCTGATGGGTATATTACATACCCAGGTATACTCGTCGATACCGAGGTGACGTGTCAACCACGAGGTCGGGTGACTAGTGGCAGTTCAGGTCTTCTGGATTCGGCTAGGCGGCTATTCGGAGCATGGCGCTAGGTAACTGATCACCCCCGTTTTAAGGTGACCGGTCACGAGTCTTCTTTCGGGACTCGACTAGACGGCTACTTTGGAGAACGGTGATAGGTGACCGGTCATCCCCGGATTAAGGTGACCGGTCACAGTTCTACCCTTTCACCTTCGGCAAGATGGGCATTTTGGGTCACGGCGGTGGGTGACCGGTCACCCCCGGGCTAAGGTGACCGGTCATGTTTCGTGGTCTTCAAGGATGGTCGGTGGAGACATTTGGGCGCGGCATACCGGGTGACCGGTCACCTCCCGGATTAGGGTGATCGGTCACGGTCTTGGTCTTCAAGAATAGTCGTTAGACGCTTTTTGGGTGCGACATTGGGGGACCGGTCTCACTTTTGAGTTTCGATCTATGGATCATGGTTGAACAAATCCGCCTCCCCCAAACCCTAGTATCTAGGAGATCAATGGAGGGACCCACCCCCGTCACTCAAGAGTTCAGTGTGGAAAAGTCCTTTTGGCACCATCCTAGATTTGTATTCAATCAACATATTCTGATTGCACAGTAATAGATGCTGTCTAGTTATTTGTCCTAAAGTGGGCAGCTTCCATGCACCTACTAAGCCTCCTCTACTCTATAAATAATCTGTGATAGAGAGAGGAGAGGGCATTCACTACTACCACCATAAAATCCTGTACACTCTAAAAAGAGTAAGAAATATATTCGGACTCGGGAGATTTACCCTGGTCTAGGTAATTCTGTGTTGTGTTCCTTACTATTAAGCTTATCTTTATTTACCCGGTTAGGCCTCCCTAACCCGACCCAGTTACCTATTTCTCATACCCAGTGGAATTTACACCATCATGGGTGATAGCCAAAATGTCACCTAATGTTACGAAGGATATTCTAGAAGACTAAAGAGACGGGTTGCGCTCAAGAAATGACCTAGTAACGTTTGAGAAAAGGTGACCGGTCATATCACTCTACTTGGCTAACATTGGTCCAGTCGCGAATCACGTCAAAGATCGGGGGACCACTGCCGCTCATCCATCACGAGACAATGAGGCATACACTGAAAGGGATATTTGTCATCTTGCAGGTTTGATTGGATAGGAAATATCCACCATAGCCATTGATTGAACAATGTTCTTTTGTTGTATACATGAAAGATCCATGATTGAATAGTAATTCCATTACTTTTTTGACATTTTACTCTGCTCGAATTGGAGACGATGGCAGACGACTATGGAGCAAATCTTTCCAGCATTAGAGAGGCGGCCAAACGAATCGGGCCTTTTGTGCACACAACCCCCGTCCTCACATCGCATTCCTTAGATTCTCTTGCAGGAAGAAAACTCTTCTTCAAATGTGAATCCTTTCAGAAGGGGTATTTTTTTTTTTAATTTTTTTTATTTTTGGAAATTTATCGTATCCTAATTCCCATTCAGATTATGGCTCGTTTTAGATCATCTGACCCAAAATTAGGGCTTTTCAAGACTCGAAAGGCCAGGGTTCTTCAAGCTTAACTCTGAATTTCATAGGTTAATTTGGGGAAAACGTTTATGATTTGTTCAGATTGACTTTAAGAGTGCTAAATATAGTATATAACCAACAAATTTAAGTAGAATTAGTATTTTAAAAGTAGATGAAACAATTGTTTATTTTCTTTCTAAATGGTAAATCAATTGTTTTTTTTAGAGGAAATTGCATAATTGGTCCTTTATAACATGTGATTTTTCCTATTTAGTCCTCTATTATGAAATGTTACCCACGTGATTTTTTTATAGGTACCTTTCCACAAATAGTCTTTTTTTGACCATTTGTCATGTTGGTGTTAACTTGAGAGTTAAAAGTGTAATTTGACATCCACCCTATATCGAGTGGCGTATTATGATGTCGGTTAGACGGACAACACAATAATATTGACTATAATTGTGGACTACGATTTCGACGAAAAATCACATCTATAGACTATGATTGTAGTAGAAAGCGACTGCGGTTCACAAACGACAAATCAAGAACGACTTCTGAAATTGTGTATCACAAGAAAGGTATATGATCATTGTGAAATTACACTTTTAGCCCTTAAATTAACACCAACATGACAGAAAATAAAAAAAGAACTATTTGTGGAAAGATACCTATAAAAGAATGGCCACATGCTTAATATTTGATAATAAATGACTAAAAGGGGTAAATAGGGAAAACCCCATGTTATAAAGGACCAATTATGGAATTTACTCTTTTTTTTAATCTGTGTACCAGTGGAGCTTTTAAAATTAGAGGGGCGTGCAATGCTGTATTTTCACTCAGTGATGCTCAGGCAGCTAAAGGGGTTATTACTCACAGCAGGTTTAATTTAAATAAATCATTGCTCTAAGAATAATTCTTTACTCTGTCTATGTTTTTTTTTTTGTACCGATGATTTCTTTTGAACTGTCTCTCTAAAATGAAGAGTTAGGTCCAACTCTACTGGGTTTGTTTCATGTTTTTTTTCTCTTTGTTGTATGATGTTCCATGATGTTACTATATCCTTCGGAATGCAGTGGCAATCACGCTGCAGCTCTTGCGCTGGCCGCAAAACTCCGGGGGATTGACGCGCATATAGTCATCCCAAAAAACGCCCCAAAATGCAAAGTTGAGAATGTGGTTCGTTATGGTGGCAAAGTGATATGGAGTGAATCCAATATGAAGTCCAGAGAGGATGTTGCTAATAATGTGTTGCGAGATACTGGTGCTGTCCTCATTCATCCGTATAACGATGCACGCATTATAAGGTACTTCTTTTTTGTTCTCTTTCTAATTTTCCACCCCCCCCCCATTTGTATGTATTAATACGAAATTTAATACGTATTGTGATGAACCCATAATTGGATTGTGGTTTTGTCGTCCATAATGCAAGTAAATGGTTGAATCTACAATTTTCTATAGTTTAACTCTAGGTCTTAGAAACTCGAATGCCTCTAATATTTCGGTGCCCTATTATCGCTTATTATAGAAACCGTGTTTGGTTATGCGTGTGTGTTTGAGCCGAGTGTCTCTTGAAAACAGTCTCTCTACTTCTGAGTAAGGGTAAGGTTTGCATACACACATCCTCCTCACACTTGACTTTTTTATGGGATTTCATTGGGTTTGTTGTTATTGTTGTTGGTTTTTGCAGCGGGCAAGGTACAATATCGTTGGAGCTTCTAGAACAAGCTCCCCAAATTGATACGATAGTCATTCCAATTAGTGGTATCTTCACTTTGTTTTCCTTGCGACTAAATTCACACAAAGAATCAATTACATAGACTCAATTATAAATGCTCAAGGAAGGGTCCCGGTGACCCAATTTAAGGGCACCCCAATGCACAAAGCATCTCCGCTTTGCAAGAGTCTGGGGTTGTGCCCTACCGTAATGGTAGGGAGACCCAATGCCATATGGCTGCCTTTAACGAGGTCAAGTATATTAGTTTCTCTCATATCACAAATCACATTCATAATAAGTTCATGCTCGTGTGTCTTCTTTGTTCGTACTTTTGTGCTTGACCCGAGGGTCTTTCTGAAAATTGAAACAACCTCTCTACTGTCTGCCAAGTAGCCTCTCTACACACACACTCCCCAGACCCTATTTTCGTGGAATTTTACTAGGTTGTTGTTGCTGTTGCATATATAAAGGTGTTCTCTCTCTTTGGGTTTTTGCAGGGGGAGGTCTTATATCAGGGGTGGCTTTGGCTGCAAAGTCCATCAATCCGTCCATACGTGTTTTGGCTGCCGAACCAAAGGGAGCCGACGATGCTGCAAAATCAAAGGCAGCTAATAGGATTATCATAATGCCAGAGGTTAACACTGTTGCAGATGGCCTCCGTGCGTGTCTTGGAGATCTCACTTGGTAATTTTTTCACACTTGGTAGTGCCCTTATATTTGCCCAAAGTACCCTTACTAACTAATGCCAGACTTACTGCGACAAACCCAAAATCCTCCCTCTGGTTTTTGTAGTGTGCCAGAGGTTTTGTGTGATGAAATGGTTTTAACAAACGATAGTTGCTAACATGGCAATTTCTGCCAAACAGGCCCATTGTCCGTGATCTCGTCGATGACATCATCGTCGTTGATGATGAAGAGATAATAGAAGCCATGAGACTCTGCTACGAGATTCTGAAGGCCTCCGTGGAGCCGAGTGGAGCAATCGGCCTTGCTGCCGTTCTCTCCGACGGTTTCAGAAACAACCCTTCATGGAACAACTGCAGAAATGTGGCCATTGTCATCTCTGGGGGAAATGTGGATCTCACTGTGCTCTGGGATTCCCTCAAGAGTGTCTGAATAACAAGATTGCACTGAGGTCCTTGTACTATTTAAAAATTAAAAATGTGTGCAATGTAGTTCATGTACTCGAAATTGAGGCGATTTAGTCCATGTGGTACTATTCATTTTTGTTCAATACGATTCTTCCGTGAAAATAAACAGAAGAATCGGATAAAACAAAAACGAACAATACAAATTACAAAGACTAAATTGTTTCGATTTTGAGTACAGAGACTATTTTACTCCGACCCATTTTAAGTTGGGAAAGTGGGGAAATCACTTCCCAAAATTATATTTCCATTGGTTATTTTGAAAAAATAGTACTCCGTACACTCTTGACAAAATGGAAGGCATTTTTACTCTTTTCCCACTTAGATTGAAACTCACCTTGTTTTATTATATTATGATGTCAGAAATTATTTTTATTTCATTTTTCAAACTTTTACTTGAACACTAGAAAATGGATTTAGTTCTCATAAATTATTTTTCATTTTTCCAAACGGTTCCTAACACTATGTTTGGTTCAAGAAATTTGGAAGGAAAAGGAAAGAAAATGATTTTCTCTCATTTTCTTCACCAAAATGAGAGAAATTTAGTTTTTCTCCACTTAATACATTTTGTCTTCTCATTATTTTTACTTCCACTTTTACTTTTTTTCCTCTCTAACCAAACAAAAAAATTGTTTTCTATTTCATTTTCATTTTTTTCACTTTCAAATTACTTGAACCAAACATAGTGTAAATATAGGCCGAATTCACAGTTTGAATTCTTTTTCACTTTTTTTTGGCAATTTTCAGAGTTCTCCCGCACGAAAAGTGAACCAGGCTAATAGATTGGATACTTGATTTTCTAAGATGTCAATAAGATAACAACAACCCAGTTGAATCTCACTACAGTAGGGTCCAGGTCTAAGATGTCAATAAGGTAATACTTATATTTATTTGTAGACAAAAAACATGTTAATTTAAAAAAAAAACAAGTAATGTTCTTTTCTTTTTTTGTTCGAACCTTGAAGGTTCATAAAATAAGATTACTATTTAGGAGGCCAACAAGAAACAAATAGAATCCAGAGCCAAACAGCAAAACACTAAGGGGCTGTTTGTTTCAGCCTTTTAATGGTTCAGATGTCTGAATGATTTAGCACTTAATCGTTCAGACTGTTTGTTTCAGCCTCTTAATGATTCAGATGTCTGAATGGTTAAGAGATTTGCCTCTGAATGGTTAAGTATTATACAGAGTCTGAATGGTTAAGAGCTTTTATCTGAATTGATCGGACATTTGCCTCTGAATAGTTAAGCAATATACTAGCTCTTAATGGTTCAGACCTCTTACTGGTTCAGCACTTAATGGTTCAGACCTCTTACTGGTTTAGCACTTACCTATTCAGAAGTTGCCAAACAGCCCCTAAAAGGTAGCAAAACCCGCAAACCGGCCAGGTAATGCAGGTTGCCCGTTCTCACCGGGTTTTTGCTATTCCGGATTCGTGTCTGATTGACGGTTTGACCAGACAGACCACCCAGTCCGAACCGGATTCGATATCATCTCGAAAAGGAAGTGTTTGGTTACATCTATTTGAGCCAAATAAGCAAGTCAAAAGCTATTTATTTTTGCTTTCAAGTGTAACTAGAACTAGCCAAAACTAGCCACCAAACAGAGCCCCTAATCTTTTTTCTCAAATATGTACTATACCACAGCTGTAAACAAAAATATACAATATCACAATCTCCAACTATTTTCACCTTCTGCAGCATATACTAGCTAACTAATGTTCAGTAGTAAGTGTAAAAAGAATCTGTTAGCTCTTTTCACAGTAGCCAATGTGTCACACTTGTTTACAGTTTACACTGTTGTTGTTGTTCAGACTGTCAGGGGGAAGAAAGCGCCAGCTGGGCCCACGCTAACGAGGGAGAGCATCCGTTCAGCTCGGCAGATACGGATGTGTCAATCTTGCTTTCCAGCAGGCCACACAAATCCACCATCGAGCTTCTGCAAGTCTCATCTGTACAAACGCATGTTTTTTTGATCACCTCACAGACCACTTCCAGCTCTTCGTATCGGAAATGCTTCAGCTCCGGATCCACCAAACGCGACCTCACCTCAGGAACGTCAAGAAATTCCCTAGCCTGCAACGCAGATAAAAGAGGCAAAAACTCAACCTTTTTTCACTTTTTCTTTGTGGGTGTTTCTCTGTGCTAGTGTTTATTGACTTATTGCTGAGAATAAGTTTTTAACTTATAAGCAGCTTAAAAGTCAAATGCTCTTTCGTGTAGATAAAATGACTTAAACGATATATAAGTCATTTGGAGATATTTATAACAGGTGAGAGATAGTTTTGCAAATAATCTGTTCAAAACAAAGAAACGAAAAAAACTAGCTTAAAAATAAGTCGGTAAGACCAACTTATTTTTTTGGCTTATAAACAACTTATAAGTCAGCTTATAAGCAAAAACTCGCTTTTTTCTTTGTATTGTTGATATATTTTCTCAAGTTAATTGGGGGGAGGGGGAGGGGATAATGTACGCTTGTAACTTTTGTTCGAAGTGTTGTTACCCAATCAAGTAAGGATCCTTTGTCTTTGCAGTAGGGAGGTCGGCCGCTGATGATTTCAAGAAGAAGCAGTCCGAACGCATATAGGTTTCCGTGGAAATCCAGGTGGCGTCCCTCCAGTGAATTCGGAAGGATGCAAATTGCACCTTCACTGCTTATGTAATTCTTCTCTGATCTTGAGAGGATTGTCTCCCAGCTTTCGAAATCAACCAGCTGCACCCAAATGGACAAGAAAATGCTAGGGAATGTTATTGTGTTTGCCTTATTGCCTGGCTTTTACCTTAGACAATGCAAAGGAAAATAACATATAATGTGTGTTTTTTATTGCTTCTTTTTCTTCATTTGTTTGAATTTCTTTTGTGTTTATATAAAAGATAGAAATATCCTCGCTTTTCGTGGGATTCTACTGGGGTTCTTGTTGTTGTTTTATACCGAGTATAAAATAAATACATAATCAACTGCTTTTGAATAAATATTTAGAAGTAAATATATTGAGTTTGAATGTATCCCCTATTTTCCCACAAATTTCCTTTCCTTGCAGTTTCCCCCCTCCAAAATGAACACAAATAATGAATGAAATGATGGTTCTTTTAACTCATATAATTTCCTATTCACTAATCAAAAGAAAGGGGAAATAGGACAAAGAATGAAAGCCCTTAACTTTTATGTTTTCCCTTCAAATTTTTATGAATTTTCATTTCCCATAATAATGAATTTATGTTGGGAAAAATAGCTGATATATTTCTCCATATTCTTTTGTTGCAAAATAATTAATAAAGAAATAAAAATAGAACTACAAGTTTGTATCTTTTAGGGTGTATTTGGTTGGGAGGGAAAGGAGAGGAAGGGTGAGGATTACAAGGTTTTTAATCCTCAGCCCTCATTTCCTTTTCCCTACAACCAAACACGCCTTAGTCATGAAGTGAAATATATCATATCCTTTTCAAGTTTTATTTATTTAAATTATACAGTAAAAAAGTAAAAAAGATAATTTAATTAGAATGAAAGTTTGTGTGTATGATGCTAAGAGAGAACTTTGTAACCTTGGGAGTGAAATCTTCAGTGAGATACACAGAATTTGAATTCAGTTCAGATATAGTGAATGGAGGCTTAAGCTCTGTTTGGAGATATTTTAACCCCTTTGCAATACCAATCACAATTTTCATCCTTCTTGTCCATGACAGTTGGCAGGCTTCTCCATCTGTGTGTAGAATTAAATTACAGCATTACCCTCCAAACACACACAAAGTACTTTTAAAAGTTAAAACTCTTTGGAAAGGAAATGAAAGAAATGTTTTTTTTCAAGATAAAATATTTTCCGAGTTCCAAACAGACCCTAAGCATTCAAACTTACAGTGAAGGTGTTCATATAAGGTCCCATTTGGGGCATACTCAAACACCAACATCCTTGTAAAAGGGCTGCTTTCCCTACAATACCCCAACAGTTTTGCTGCATTTTCATGATCAATCCTCGCAAGTTCTGCCGCCTCTTTCTGAAAATAAAGTTCAAGATAGGCAGTCCAGTTCTCTTCTTTAACACAAACGGATATCACCGCGATCTCGGGCCCACCTCTCATCGTACCCTTGTACACCAAGCTGTTGGTTGAGGATACGATAATATTGCTGAAGTCTTCGCACGCCACCTCCACCTCTTCCCTGCTGTACCTCACTACATCCTTCAGCATCTCAGTGTCTGTTAAAAGCACACGATAAATGGTGTGTGAAAATTGCACCTTTGGTCCCCAAATTTTGGAGGAATAGTATACTCACGCCCTCCCAACTCTTCTCCTTTTTACTTTTCAATATATTTTTCTTTAAAACTCCGTGAAGTCAAACTATTTTACCTACGTAAATCGTCGTGTGATCGTCCTTGATGCTACCTGACTTCTTCCAAGGGATGACAATGGAGGATTTGTTGTTGAACTTGTGAAATGTAGTGAGAAGAGCCGCTAGAAAGAGGGTGCCTGCCATTATCCCTGTCATCACTTCCAGTCCAAACAGCCATCGCGGTTTTCTTGAGCCATACTTATGTCTGGTCACTGCATGAGGATGGGTTTTGTGTGTTGGTGGTCCATCATGCCCTGTAAAGTCAAGAAGGTTAAACTCCACTTTTGACATTTCTACCCTTCAAAAGAACGAACAAGCGAGTTGAATTTTTGAGATTTTTTTTCACAAAATTATAGGGCATTTACATACCACATTGAGCAAGAGGCCGCTGCTTAATATCATGGACTTGAAGGCAGTTCCCTTGAAAGCTTGACCTTGGAACAGATACAAGTTTAATAAGATTTTATTTTTAAAAAAATGATTGAGAATAACAACAAAAGAAAAATCAAGATGAAGAGAGGATTACTTTGGAAGGTAACTCAAGCATTTTGGTATCCTTCCAACAAAGAAGTTGTATGAAAAATCTGCAACTTTTAGTTTAGATGACCGACAAACGCCGACTGGATTCCCACCAGACGCATACCTAAAACAGTTAAAAGATTTAAATATATGAACTTCACGCCGCAGATTTACAGCTACTTTTTCTACTGTTAAAGCAGGATTAAGGCTCTGTTTGGTTGCAAGTTCTAGCTTTTGTTTTACTTATAAGCAGCTTTTCACTTAAATGGCTGAAAGCCTGAAATGAATGATACCAAACGGGCCCTTAAGTATTCATGTAAACGCATACTTACATCCCATGTACACTAGATGTAGAGTATGCAATATTACTCCCAAGGACCATCCCTAGGAGCTTATTCCTATCAACCCGAAGTTCTTCGAGGAACTTCAAATTGCGAATAAGCTCAGAGGGAAATCTTCCAGACAAACCATTGGATCGAAGGTTTCTGCAAAGTGAAAAAAAGGGTAAGAAATTAAAATAAAAAGCACATTTAGAATGCTTGGTGTCAAACAGTCCCAAGTTTCACCAACATTTTTACTATTTTTGGTAGATATCCAATCTCCCTGGGGATTGATCCTGTAAGCCGGTTATTGCCCAAATCCAAGATTCTGAGGTTCTTTAATAACCCTATTTCTTTAGGTATTGTACCCATCAGCAGGTTTCCATTCAAGATTCTGTGCATCACCAGCATAACACTAGTCAAGATTCTAGTGGCATCAAGGGTACATTCGGAACTCGGAAAATTATAGGGAAATAAAACAGGCAGAAAAAAGTATACCAGAAGTAGGTGAATACTCAAGAACTTTATTCAAACTCAAGAACTTTATTTCTATAAAACATTTGTGCAAACTCAAACACTTTATTTTCTAAATTTATTCAATCTCATTTTTTAATCTGTCTCTATCATTCAAAGAATAATGAACTTCATCCATGTAGAAAAAAAACAGTTATCCTATTACATTTTCGTTTGCATTTTCAGAAGTAAAACAAAACAACTTCCATTGCAACTTTTTTTTAGATTTCCTAGCATTGACTGTGATCCAAACACACAGCGGTAATTTTGTTGGGAAAAACGGGCTTACAGTTCTTCTAAATACGAAATGAGATACAAGTCTGGTACAAGAAACCCCTTTAAAGATGCCCCAGAAATGTTACTGCAACATAACACATAAAAATTAGACAACAAAGAGACAGTAAAAATAAATACGAGTGTTCATAACAACGAATAGACAGTAAAATATTAAAGAAAATTCTTACATTTTCAAGACATGATCTCCAGCAGCCATAGAACAAGAAATGCCATTCCAATTACAAGGGTCTGAATCTAAGTCATTCCAACTAGACAATACCAGACGTGGGTCTTCATATATAGCTTCTTTGAACTTAGTAAGAGCAATCACTGTGAAAAAAACCCAAATTTACAGAAAGAGACTAAATTTTGCAGATCTATGGGATAAATGCAGAGTGAATCCAAGAACCATACCTTCATCTGAAGGAAAATCAGCAGAACCCACAAGAAAGATCCCACTGGAGACCAAAAGAAATTGAAGAAAGACATGAATCTTCATCTTCTTCCACTCACACAAGAACACTGGTGAGTGGCATTGCAGAGATCCAGAAGTGAAATAGCCCACCAGATCAAGAAAACCCAAAGAAAGAAAAGAGTCCACACAGGTTGGGAAAATGGAGGGTTTCAAGAAACAGAGAAGAACTGCCCAGATTCACAATGGCGAAATGGGGTTATGAAGATTTGATGAAATCAGAGCGGAAGGCAGTTGAAAGAAACCAACTTTGCTCGTAGAAATGGGGAAACTTGGGTTCAAAGAGAAGTTTTGTGTCAGCGCAACTATAAAATATAAAAAGATACTCAGAAAATTAAAACGAACCCAGCATAAATTTCGGATGAAGATAGAAGAAGTGGAAGAAATAAGCAAAGAAAATGGGAAACTGTTTTTAGAAATTAAAGACCCTCCCCGAATTTAGGGGTGAATCCGTACCACTGGTACCAGTAGCTTACACGATTGGAGCTTCTGAGCCCATGAGTCTGCATGTGCTCATTCTCTGGCTCTCTGCTATCGGCTCTGGTCACATTTTAGTTAGTTTTTTAAAAATAATATAATACTCCATATTTTTTTGATTTTTTGTATCAATTACTCTCAAACTTATAAAAATTTGCACGGGTTCTTTCTAAACTTTAAAATTTACTCCATCCGTCTCTAAATAGATTACAATTTTTTTCTCTCTCTTCTCGATAACTTTTGTTTATTTACGCGATTTCATTAAGTATTTGATAAGATAAAATATTCTTATCACCTCTTGTTTTATAGAACTTTTAACATAGTTTTTTAATATGTAATTTTTATATCTCATTGATATACCAATTTGTAAATAAAATGATTTCAAAAGATAGGAAATTTTACTCCGTAACCCGCAATTTGTAATCAAATTGGGGACGGAGGGAGTATATTAATATTCTCTGAATTTTTTAAAACATTGCGGTCAATAGTCTTTTTCTGCCAGATTCAAAAGTGTGTTAATCAGATTCTCATCTAGTGCAATTATAAATTCATCTAAACTCATATATCACACGTGCGTTTTTCAATATATCTTCAATTCCCAAACATTATCTTCTACTCCTAGATAATTATTCTTCTTTTAGCCGTCAGTAACCAAACTCGAAGCCTGGGTCTCAGTTGATTCAATTTTTCATCAATCTATCAACGAACAATGTACCAACGAATTGAAAATTAAGAATAGAATGTGAGAGAGGATTGGAGTGCAAGTAGAGAATTATTTGTTCGAATGTATTTTTTCTCTACAACGAAGCACTCCTTATATGGGGATGGCTTGGCTCTTCGGTTGGACACTGGGCAATTTGTATGAAGCATGACGAAGTCCCACACGTGTTCAATTAGATCTCGTAAAAAGATAGGAGTCGGTTTTCGCCACTGCACGTTGCGCCCTCGTGTGGGCCGATCCAGTCGACAGCGGCGGCGGCGCGCGAGCTTTCTTTCACTCTTTCTCCTCAAAATGCTTTTGCAATGCAATTAAATGCTAACATATACTACGTATATAGTAGAAGATGAAAAGCTTCAAAATTCGATGTGGTACACATAAAAATTTGCAGCACTTACATCATACCTTTTTCCTAATAATCTACCCATCACATCAAGGGTATTTTTGGAAAGTCAACACCAAAATATCTCTCCCTTAATTTTCCAAAAAGTCAATATGTACCAATCTTTTTGGGACGGAGGGAGTATAATATTAAATTACTTTATCTTATTCAATTTGAGTTGAGGATGGTTCGAAATAGGTTTGGGTTGAGAAAGTTTTAAAATATGATCGACAAAGTACATAACAAACTACGTCGTATAAATTTGAAGTTGTCTTTAACATTTGAACAAAGTACGCGTGTCTTAGCATTCATTTAACAACAACTTCAATATTTAGCTTAGCTTTTTAAAATTTTATCTAATATTAGCGTTTATTTTAGCTTTTTCCAAAAATAACATACACCACTAAAAATTACGGAGTATCTAAAATACTAATGTTAATTAAAAATATCATGCCTTATTAATCGTCTAACAAAATAAGTTATTGAGCAATTAGGAAAGGAATTGGGAGGGTACATTTGAACGCCACAGAACAATATATTTGGGCACCAAGTGGGCACGGGCCGGTCCGAGCCAAGATTTGTACAAACCAGTCTCAGTTTTTTATATTAAAACGGTCCGGGCTGGAACGGGTTTTCGAAATTTTAACATTGAAACTGGATCTAACACAACTTGTTTGAAACAGGCCAATTCCACGGGTCAACGAGTCATTATCATGATACTAATAAAAAATAAAGCGATAATAAATTAATAATACATACATGGTCATTCACCATTAGTCCACAATAATGTACTACCCCCATTGTCAATTTTAAGTTATCCAACACAAAAAAGAGGTTTAAATGAAGACAAAACACTGACAAAGAGAGGTAATGGCGTAACTCGTAAGGGCATTTTTCCCGGTGTAATTACTAATAATAATACGGAGTATTAAAAAGTGGTCCGGTTCGGGTCCTTGACAATTTCAAAATGAAGACCCTAAAACCTATAAGAACTAGACCGACCCGGCTCGTTATAAATATTTGAAAAGAAGACCCGCTCTTAACCCGGATCGAACTTGACGGTTCAGTCCCGACTCTCGATTCCTTGACCCGTTTTGCCAACCCCTAATTTGGAATGCTATACAAAATAATTTAATATGACGAGACTTTATTTTTCCTACTAGTTCGTCTCGTATTGAGCTGGGCTGCGATGGGTTCTTGTCTTCTTGACAAAATAAGTAAAAAGATATATATCTAAACAAAACTAAAATATAAATTTATACTAGAATTAATTTTTTACTCAGCTCCCTTCATACTTGAAAGAAGTTTCTTGATCGAACAACGTGCAAAATCTTGTAACTTTTAAAATTATTTTATTTACAACTTGATACGAAACTAAAAAGTATAATTTTCATATTTAAAAACGATATAAAAAATTTTATAAAATAAAAGGTGACAAGAATATAGTTTTTTTATGAAATTATCAATGAAAACATGCAAACAAACAAAAGTTATTGAAAGACTATAAATAATAGAGAGTTAGATTATTTTGAGACAGAAGGAGCATATTTTTATCTTTTAAATGGGAGTGTTAATATTATAAAACACACATGGTTTGATATTGTTTGTTGGTATTTTAAATGAAGTTGCTTTTAGTATTATTTGACATTATAAGTTATACATTGACATAACATACGGAGTATTGAAGATATTATTTTGGTATATGTAACATGTTTTAATTTTTTTTAAACTTATGGAGTACAATCAGTACATTAAAAGTAAATAAATCTACTTATGTAGAATTTTAGCGGAAACTGATCTGCTTTTCATTAATCACAAACCGATATATATATACAAGTACATAAACGGGCTAACAAGTACAGGCCCAATAACATAAATATTTACGATTAATTACAAATATCCGCTAACACTCCCCCTCAAGTTGGTGCATGAAGATCTCGAATGCCCAACTTGAACAGTAAGAAATCAAAGACAGGTTTGGATAATGGTTTGGTAAAAATGTCGGCCAACTGATAACGCGTAGGGACATAGCGTGTAGACACCTCGTGGCGCTGAACAGATTCACGAACCGTATGACAATCGACATCAATATGCTTCATTCGTTCGTGGAACACTGGATTCGCTGCAATATACAAAGCTGATTGATTATCACAATATAAACGCGGAGGATATAGAATGGGGACACCTAACGCGCCCAAAATGCCGTGCATCCAGCGTATCTCAACACATGCATTGGCCATGGCCCTATACTCAGCTTCTGCAGAAGACCGCGCCACGGTGGTCTGTTTCTTCGTCTTCCATGAAACCGGGGAAGTGCCCAACATGATAAAATATCCGCTAACGGACCGTCGAGAAAGAGGGCAACTGCCCAGTCAGAGTCACAATAAGCAGTAATCTGAAGATTACTAGTGGCGCTCAGAAAAATTCCCTGACCCGGGTGGCCTTTGATATAACGCAGAACTCGCAAAGCAGCATTCATGTGATCAAGATTGGGTGCCTGCATAAACTGGGACAAAACATGAACAGAGTGACAAATATCAGGACGAGTGATAGTGAGGTAGATCAAACGGCCAACTAGTCGACGATATCGTGCAGGATCTTGGAGAGGGGGGGCTGCCGAGGTGGCCAGGCCGTGCGCCGTCGGCATAGGGGTGCCTGCCGGTTTGCATCCCAACAGGCCGGCCTCGTGTAAAATCTCCATTGCATATTTGCGCTGGCAAAGGACCATACCAGACGGAGACCGAGCACATTCAATCCCCAAGAAATATTTGACAGGGCCCAAGTCTTTGAGCTGAAAACACCGGTCCAAGTATCGCTTAAAGGAAGAACACATGGAAGGACTATTGCCTGCAACCAAGATATCATCAACATAAACCAACACAGTAAGAATATCAGGGCCACGACGTAAAATAAATAAAGTGTGGTCCTTGTGAGCTTGTTTGAACCCCCAATCACGAAGGGCAGAGCTCAGCTTATGAAACCAATTCCGTGGAGATTGACGCAACCCATATAAAGATTTCCGAAGTTTGCATACTTTGCCAGGAATAGAATACCCAAGAGGTAACCGCATATAGACCTCCTCAATAAGATCTCCATTCAGAAAAGCATTATTAACGTCAAGCTGATGAACCTCCCAATTTTTAGCCACAGCCACAGATAATAAAATACGAACAGTGCCCATTTTAGCAACAGGGGCAAAGGTATCTGTATAATCTGTCCCAAATTCCTGGTGATTCCCCAAGACCACAAGGCGTGCCTTGTCCCGTTCTTTGGTACCGTCGGACCGGAACTTGGTCCGATAAACCCATTGACACCCCAAAGCAGTGCGATCATGAGGAAGATCGGTGATGTCCCAAGTATGATTGTTTTCCAAAGCATCAATCTCCTGTTGCATAGCCACTCGCCAATTAGCATGTTGCATGGCCTCTTTGAAGTTTCTAGGAACCTCATGGGATGTAACAGCCGCCAAGAAACCACGATGCTTGTCATGAAATTTTTCATAATGAACAAAATTATGGATAGGATACCAAGTACCTGAAGATCGAGAAGAGGTAACGGAAGGAGCAACAGGAGCCAAAGTCTGGACGGTATGACAATAATAATCGGCTAGGTGAGGGGGTGGTCGACGCTGACGAACTGGGGGTGGGGGTGACGGTGACGGGGAGCTGATGGGGCTTTCATGATCGGAGCCCTCGTCGCTGCCGCTGGAAGAGGTCGGGGTTACCGGGTTGCCACCGCTGGGAGAAGCCGTGGGGACAACCAGCTGG